TCTGCTGGCCTCAGTGAGGGCCGGGCACGGTGGCTCACGCCTATAATCCCAGCATTCTGGGAGGCCAAGGCGGGTGGATCACCTGAGGTCAGGTGTTCGAGACCAGCCTGACCAACATGGAGAAACCCCACCTCTTCTAAAAATATAAAATTACCCAGCTTGGTGGTGGGCACCTGTAATCCCAACTACTCAGGAAGCTGAGGCAGGAGAATCACCTGAACCCAGGAGATGGAGGTTGCAGTGAGCCAAAATCACACCACTGCACTCCAGCCTGGGTGACCTGGAGAGACTCTGTCTCAAAAAACAACCACCACCAAAAAAAAAAAAAAAAAATGAGAACTGAGGTATAGAAAGGTTACATAACTTGCCTCCTAGAGTTATTACAGTGGGTGAATGGGCTGGGATTCCAACCCAGGTCATCTGGCTCCCATGTAGGTAGGTCTGGACCCACAGGTAGAGGGGACAAGACAAATTGCCAAGTCTCAGGACCAGGTAGAGCCAGATAGGATCAATAACCTCTCCAGCAGTCGTCTCCAACCTAGCAGGTGTGGGAGAGGCCCTGTGACAGGGGCGGGAGAAGGCTTAGCGGGGCAGGCAGTCCACCCACTCCTCCTCCAAGACAATCCAAAGCAATAGGTGGCAGCAAGCCCCCAAGGGTGGGTGGAACACGGGAAGCCACCCCAGCTGGTATTTTCCTTGGATCATAGTGTAGATCTTAAAAAACACACCCCCCTCCACCCAACAGCTGCACAGTCTGGAGCAAATATACGCACTCACCACACACACACGCAAGACCATATATATATATATATATATATTTTTTTTTTTTTTTGAGACGGAGTCTTGCTCTGTCACCCAGGCTGGAGTGCAGTGGCACAATCTGGGCTCACTGCAAACTCTGCCTCCCAGGTTCATGCCATTCTCCTGCCTCAGCCTCCCGAGTAGCTGGGACTACAGGCGCCCGTCACCACAGCCGGCTAATTTTTGTATTTTTAGTAGAGACGGGGTTTCACTGTGTTAACCAGGGTGGTCTCGATTTCCTGACCTCGTGATTCACCCGCCTTGGCCTCCCAAAGTGCTGGGATTACAGGCGTGAGCCACAGCACCCAGCCCAATATACTTTTTTAAACTTTATTTTTATTTCTATTTATTTATTTTTAATTTAAAAAAATCTAATTAGAGATGAGGTCTTAGGCCGGGCACAGTGGCTTATGCCTATAATCCCAGCGCTTCGGGAGGCCGAGGCAGGCAGATCACGAGGCGGGAGGATCACGAAGTCAGGAGTTCAAGACCAGCCTGGCCAATACGGTGAAACCCCATCTCTGCTAAAAATACAAAAATTAGCCGGGTGTGGTGGTGTGTACCTGTAATCCCAGCTACTCAGGAGGCTGAGTAAGAATTGTTTGAACTCAGGAGGCAGAGGTTGCAGTGAGCTGAGATCGTGCCATTGCAGTCCAGCCTGGGAGACAGAGCGAGACTATGTCTCAAAACAAACAATAACAACAACGACAAAAAAAAACCCCAAAAAAAACCAGAGATGAGGTCTTGGCATGTTGCCCAGGCTGGTCTCAACTCCTGCGCTCAAAGGATTCTCCTGCCTTGGCCTCCCAAAATGCTGGGATTACAGGTGTGAGCCACTGCACCCACCCTACTTTTTTTTTTTTTTTTTTTTTTGATACAGGATCTCACTCTGTCACCCAGGCTGGAATGCAGTGGCAAGATCACTGTTGACTGTACCCTTGACCTCATGGACTCAAGTGATCCTCCTGTCTCAGCCTCCTGAGTAGCTGGGACTACAGGAGAGCGCCAGCGCACCTGGGTAATTAAAAGAAGATTTTTTTGTAGAGACAGATGCTATGTTGCCCAGGCTGGTCTCGAACTCCTGGCCTCAAGTGATCTACCCACCTTGGCCTCCTAAAGTGCTAAGATCACAGGCATGAGCCACTGCACCCAGCCTAAGACAGTTAATATCCACTTCAAGCCTGCTCAGCGGGCCTGAGAGGAACAAAGGGCTCAGCTATGGAGAGCTCCATCCCCAGTGCCAATCTCTCTAAATGGCCTCTTTCCTCTCCACATAACACCACAAGGCTTGGAGTCCAGCTTCCTGTGACCTTAAGTCACCATTCCAAAACCTTGCAATCTCACCCAGAGACCACAAATGAAATAAGGAATATTATAATCCTGAGAAGTTTAGTGGATCAAGACGGCATGCCATCAAGATGCTGAGAAACAAAGAGGCAGATGGGACCGGGGGCCCAGAAGATGCTGGAACCCACAGTACTAAAAGCTCAGAGAGGCTGGGCACGGTGGCTCACACCTGTAATCCCAGCACTTTGGGAGGCCAAGGTGGGTGGATCGACTGAGCCCAGGGGTTTGAGACCAGCCTGGGCAACACGGCGAAACCCAGTCTCTACCAAAAAAATATACAAAAATTAGCCAGGCATGCTGGTGCATGCCTATAGTACCAGCTACTTGGGAGGCTGAGGCAGGAGGATTGACTGAATCTGACAGCACACCATTGCACTCCAGCCTGGGTGACAGAACCAGATCCAACCTAAAAAAAAAAAAAAAGAAAAAAGAAAAAAAGCCCAGAGGGGAGGTCACCCTCGACAGTTTTCCAGCCCCTTCCACATCCTTCTTAACCTCACCAGATACTGTCCAAGTCCTACCTTAGGCAAGGCAGAAATTATAGGACCAAGCCGTCAAATGGGGAAATTGAGTCCCCGAGAGGAGTAATGCATTATTTAAGATCCCATGCAGGACTATGAGTCAGGGGTCCAAGAGCCCTTCCACCATGTGCCACTCAGAGACACAGAGTAGGAGGGGGAAGGGGGTCGGGTGGTAGGGGACAAAAGATGCGGGAGGCAAGCAGCAGTGACTGAAGAGGCAGAGGCTGACATGGAAGACCCGGGAGCAGAGAATCTTTCCTCACCGTCTCCAGGGGACACCACTGGGCAGGGATTGGCTTCCTGGAAAACCCTGCATTCCCTCTGTGGGTGATCAGGGAACCACTCTCCTACTAGCTGGGTTTTGTGTGTGGTTTTTTTTTGTTTTTGTTTTGTTTTTTTTTTTTGAGATTGAGTCTTACTCTGTCGCCTAGGCTGGAGTGCAATGGTGTGACCTCAGCTCGCTGCAACCTCTGCCTCCAAGGTTCAAGCAATCCTCCTGTCTGAGCCTCCCGAGTAGCTGAGATTACAGGCACCTGCCATCATGCCTGGCTAATTTTCGTACGTTTGTAGAGATGGGGTTTTGCCATGTTGGCCAGGCTGGTCTCCAACTTCTGGCCTCAGGTGATCTGCCTGCCTCTGCCTCCCAAAGTGCTGGGATTGCAGGCATAGGCCACCGCACCCTGCTAGAGCTGGGTTTTAACAGGAAGAGAAGAGCCAAAAATCCTCACATAGAATCAGACAGCACTTGACAGTTTCCAACCTCATCATCACTGAAGTTTAGAGCAGCCCATACCCATAAAGATGATCTCCCCATCCCCCCAAGTTACCCACTGTGCAGAGGGAGATCGACACTTAGAGACAGGAAGCAACTTCCAGAAGTCCATAGCAACCCAGTCCCAGGAATCTAGGTTTCCTGACCAGGGCATAGCAGAAAGGGTCCACTCCTTTCCTTGCTTGTACCTTCACAGAAGCTTCCTGGACAGAGCCCTGGGGTCCAGGAGACCCGTTATTCATTCCCAGCTATGCTGAGACTTACTAAATGACTTTGGGGACTCCTTCTAGAGAATTTAAGTTCCACGAGTGCAGGAATTTTTATCTATTAGTCCTTGATGTATCTCCAGCCCTAGAACAGTGTTTGGCCCATAGTATGTGCCCAAAAATATCCATTAAATGAATGTTCTGTGCATGGTGGTGCATGCCTGTAATCCCAGCAGTTTGGGAGGCTGAGGCAGGAGGATTGCTTGAGCCTAGGAGTTAGAGACCAGCTTGGACAACATAGTGAGACCCCATCTTGTAAAAATTTTTAAAAATAAAAAATGAGTGAATATCTCGATAGCCAGGATTAGAGAAGTGTCACAGTCAGAAAGACTGAAGCCTAAAGAAGACCAAGGAACCAGGGTCTTTATCCTCAGATACATGAAAGGCTAAGATTCTGTCCACAAGTATTTATAGTGGGCCCGTAATGTGCTTGGTACTGAGCTAGGAACTCCCCAGATTCAATTAAGAACAAAGTCATTACCTGCCTCAGATGCAAGGCAGGGTCTGGGGGGTGTGAGTGGCAGGGAAGGCAGCGTGCTCAGTAGAGACACTTTTCTTAGCCTGAGCTGCCCTGACATGGTCTGACAGCCCACAAGGTGGTGAGTGCAGCCGGGCTGTAGTGTTCAAGGAGGGCGCCGGCTGGCTGCCCACCTGTCAGAGGCTGCGCCAGGAGGATGCGGAAGAAGAGGTTTCTGCCTTGGCTGAGGTCACTTCCCACCCCTAGATTCCCTGCCCACACAACCCTGCAATTTTCTGACGCTGACGACTCGGATCCTATTATTTCCCGATTTTCAAGGTCCCATGATGCTGACAGCCCCAAATGCTAAGTCGTCAGTCCGCCCACGCCCCTGGACCCGAAAGCAATAAAGGCGAAATCAGTAAGGGTTCTACCACCCACTGCCTCGAAAGGCCTCTGGGGGTGGTGGGCGCGCCCCTCCCCACCTCGCGGGGGCCGTGTGGGCGTCGTTCGGTCGTCGGAGTGCCGGGGACGTCGTGATGAAAACAGTGTCCCAGAGACGGCGCTGACAGAACCGGGACACGTGACAGTCACAGCGTCACATTCTGCGGTCCACGAGTTTGGGACCGGGTTGGTCACGTGACGCGGTGGGGGCACCATGGGGTGATGTGAGATGCGGGTGCCTCAGATTACGTACAAATGACGTATTCCTACCCCTTTTGGCAACCAGATTTCCGTTGGAAGATGCAACGGTTCCGGTGACGGTAGCGAGCTCCCGCGTCCAGGCAGCTCCGCTTCCGCTCGGGGCGCAACAACTTCCGACTCCACCTTCCCCGCCTCGGGCGAGGAAGAGACGCGACCATATGCGCATGCCCCGAATTTATCACGGAGGGGCGGGGCTGAGGCTGCGGGAGCTGGACGGGGGAAGAAAAGGGAATTCCAACCTGTGGAACCTTGGGGGGGTCCCCGGGGTCGGCGCCTTCCCATTGACTGTGGGCAGTGCAAGGGACGGAGGCTCTGGTGGCTCGTGGGGGTGTTGGGGTCCGCAGGGGGAGGGAGGGGAGTGTCAGAGTGTGAGTGGGGTACGGGTATTCCAAGTTTGCGGGCCTCCCGGTCTGACGCCGAGGAGGGAGAGCTCAGGCCACCATGCGGGACAGGACCCACGAGCTGAGGCAGGTGAGACGCCAAGGCAGCGGGGATGGGGGCGGGCGGACGAACTGGAACGCAAGACTCCTGGTCTTCGGGGTAGGGAGGGGTGGCTGATGGCCAGGAAGGAAAGTCCCGGAAGCCTGTGGGTCCTGCGGGGTGACAGCCGCAGCGAAACAGTGGTGCCAATGACTCCGGGCCTGGCAGGGGGATGACAGCTCGGACGAAGAGGACAAGGAGCGAGTCGCGCTGGTGGTGCACCCGGGCACGGCACGGCTGGGGAGCCCGGACGAGGAGTTCTTCCAGAAGGTAAGGGGATGGAGTCTTGGCCTGGATTCGCGAGGGGGTAGGAGGACCCGAGGAGTAAGCGTGGTCTGGAGTACCCCATATCTCTTTCAGCCCTCTCGGTCACCCTCCCCAGGTCCGGACAATTCGGCAGACTATTGTCAAGCTGGGGAATAAAGTCCAGGAGTTGGAGAAACAGCAGGTCACCATCCTGGCCACGCCCCTTCCTGAGGAGAGTGAGTGAAACCCCGGCTGCATAGCGCATGCTCTGCCCCAGGGATTGTGGGGGTTGTAGTTCCACGCAGGTGGTGGCCAGGGTGGTTTGTTGAGGTAGGGGCTGCTGTTTGGGAGTCGTGGCCTTCTCTTATTCAGGCATGAAGCAGGAGCTGCAGAACCTGCGCGACGAGATCAAACAGCTGGGGAGGGAGATCCGCCTGCAGCTGAAGGGTGAGCTACTGGGACCTCAGGCAGATCCTTCCCTCTGATCCTGCCCTGTTGTTGGTATATCTGGGGAGTGTGTGGCCCAGAGAAGCCAGTGATATATCCAGGTCGCACAGCAGGCCTGGTTCTAGCATCTCTGTCTCCTGGCCTCCAGGCCATTGTACTCTCCACAGCACAAGGCAGTCTCTCAGGTTCTTTTATTTACAATGAAACCATTTACTTACACAGTTATCGCTGCCCACTGGGCATTCTTTGGGCAGGGAGATGGGGTTTTGTTAGGTGGCCTCTGCATTCCTACGGGAACTCAAGTGATGTAATGCAAAGAAAAATAAACTTACTTTCTCCTCTTGGAGGCTCAGCCTTAGTCATTTTATGATAAATGATATTTCCCTAAAAATCCTATGGAGACAAGTACCCCCAATACCCCTGTGTCTTCCCACAGCCATAGAGCCCCAGAAGGAGGAAGCTGATGAGAACTATAACTCCGTCAACACAAGAATGAGAAAAACCCAGGTGGGTTTAAAATGACATTTCAGCAAATGTTGCATGAAGTATTAGATGATAGATGTATGAAGGAAGGGCCTGCAGATGTCATGGAGTCCAATTGGATGATTTTTTCCAAGTGGGGAACCTGAGCTCAGAGAGAGAAAGAACTTGCTCAAGGTCAAGAAACTAGGTCTCCTGATGCTCAGTCCGGTTATAACACCCTGCTTTATTTTCTTCCATTCAATAAGAAGTTACTTATTCACCCCAGACAAGACCTAGGCTTGACTGTGGGACACATGTTTTCTTTTCTTTTTGCCTCAGCCTCCTGAATAGCTGGGATTACAGGTGGACACCACCATGCCGAGTTAATTTTTGTATTTTTAGTAGAGACGGGGTTTCACCATGTTGGCCAGGCTGGTCTCGAACTCCTGACCTCAGGTGACCCTCCTGCCTCGGCCTCCCAAAGTGCTGGAATTACAGGCGTGAGCCACCGCGCCCAGCTGGGACACGTGTTTTCTAGGAGTCAAGATGAGGAGTTAGGGTTCAATAGGGGATAAAGACATTACTCACGTGGGATCTGGTGGCTAATGGTGCTGCCCAGGGAAGGAGAGTTAGAAGTCACAAATTGACTGGCAGGTTTGCTATCTATGTGACAGGGACATCCTTAGTCCCACAGGTGGAATTCAAGAAGTCAGGAAGTGGAACTTCCCTGGGGCGACACTGAAGAGGAACTCCCCTGGTGTAATATCTTTTTTTTTTTTAATTATTATTGTTTTTTTGAGATGGAGTCTCTCTCTGTCGCCCAGGCTGGAGTACAGTGGCACAGTCTTGGCTCACTGCAACCTCCACCTCCTTCAAGCGATAATCCTCCCTCAGCCTCACAAGTAGCTGAGATTACAGGCGTACATCACCACACCTGGCTAGTTTTTTATATTTTTGGTAGAAATGAGGTTTCACCATGTTGGCCAGGCTGGTCTTGAACTCCTGACCTCAAGTGATCCACCTGCTTTGGCCTCCCAAAGTGCTATGATTACAGGCATGAGCCACCATGCACGGCCCCTGGGGTGATATCTTAGTAAGGAGATTTGCAGTGATCTGACTGGCCCTCTCTGTGTCCCCAGTGAGGAGGATACCAAGAGGTCAGGGTTGGAGTAGTTGAGCCCAGGGCTCAGCAAGGACCCCAGATTGAAGATGAAACAGCTTGGGCATCTTGGAAGGGTGCAGCTGGAACCAGGAGAGCAGATGTATCTCTGGAAAAGGAACTCCAAGGAATGAGCATATTTAAGGCCTCAGGAGAAGGGGCAAGGCAGAGCAGATGCCCCAGAGCCAGTGTTTCTGGGGAAGCCTGTGGTGGTGATTGGCATGAGTGGTCGAGGGCCCATGTGGGCCTGTTGCACCTGTTTCGCCCAGGCAGCATGTTCATTTCTACGCATAGGAACTGTGGTGTAGGCAGCAAGGTTGGCATTCAGCAAGCATTCATCAGTTACATATTGGGTGCCTACTCTGTGCCAGACCTTTTTGGAACTGTTTAGGATACAGCAGTGAATCAATGATCCCTATCCTCATGGAACTTCCCTTCTGGTGTGGACAATCACCATAATAAATAAGTGAATTATTTAGAACATAATAAGCATTAAGGAAAAAAGAGCAGGGGAAGAGGGACTGAGCATGCTGGAGGAGGGTAGAGTTGCAGTTGAAAGCAAGTGGAGGAAGCTTCATTCAGAAGGTAACATCTGAACAAAAGACTTAAAAGTGTTTGCGGGGAATGGGCATTCTAGGTAGAATGAGAAGTGAACGCAAAGGTTTAAGCTGAGAGTGTGCTTTGTCTAGGGAGGGCTGTAAGGAGACCAATGTGGATGGGCGGAGGGAGGGAACAGTAAGAGGAAGTAAGATCAGAGAGCTCATGGGAGAAGGAGAGATCATAGAGGGCTGGCCGTGCACCTTGGCTCACACCTGTAATCCCAGCACTTTGGAGGCTGAGGTGGGAGGATTGGTTGAGCCCAGGCGTTTGAGACCAGCCTGGGCAACATTTCGAGACCCCATCTCTCTCTTTGTTTTTTTTTTTTTTGAGACAGGGTCTCACTGTCACCCAGGCTGGAGTGCAGTGGTGCCATCTCTGCTCACTGCAGCCTCCGCCTCCTGAGTTCAAGCCATTCTCCTGCTTCAGCCTCCCAAGTAGCTGGGACTACAGGCACCCACCACTGCACCCAGCTAATTTTTGTATTTTTAGTAGAGATGGGGTTTCACCATGTTGGCCAGGCTGGTCTTGAACTCCGACCTCAGGTGATCTGCCTGCCTCAGCCTCCCAAAGTGCTGAGATTACAGGCATGAGCCACCATGCGGGCCAACCCTGTCTCTATTAAAAATAAAAATAGGCCAGGCGCAGTGGCTCACACTTGTAATCCCAGCACTTTGGGAGGCCGAGGTGGGTGGATCACCTGAGGTCAAGAGATTGAGACCATCCTGGCCAACATGGTGAAACCCCATCTCTACTAAAAATACAAAAATTAACCATGCATGGTGATGTTCATCTGTAGTCCCAGCTACTCGGGAGGCTGAGGCAAGAGAATCGCTTGAACCCAGGAGGCCAAGGTTGTGGTGAACCGAGATTGTGCCACTGCACTCCAGCCTGGGCAATAAGAACGAAACTCTGTCTCAAAAAATAAATAATAAATAAATAAAAATAAAAAAGATCATGGAGGGCCACATAGACCTGCTAAGGGCTTTGGCTTTTTGTCTAAGAGAAATGGGGGAGCCTGTCAAGGTCATCACAAAGTGGTTAAGGTGGCAGACCCCACATAAGAGTTCATGCTATTTGCTCACTTTACTATGGGATTGCCGAGGCCCAGACCAGGCAGGGATCCTCCCAGGGCACCCAGCCTATATTCTTCATTTTTAGCATGGGGTCCTGTCCCAGCAATTTGTGGAGCTCATCAACAAGTGCAATTCAATGCAGTCCGAATACCGGGAGAAGAACGTGGAGCGGATCCGGAGGCAGCTGAAGATCAGTGAGTTGTGTGTGCCCAGCCTGGCCTTCAGGGGCAGGTAATCCCAACCCAGCCCTGAGCCTGGCCTTTTCCTTCACAGCCAATGCTGGGATGGTGTCTGACGAGGAGCTGGAGCAGATGCTGGATAGTGGGCAGAGCGAGGTGTTTGTGTCCAATGTGAGTGGCCACAGCCAGCCCCTCTCTGCTGTGCCTCCCATCCCCTCTGAGTCCTGTCCCTTTCTTGACCTCCTAGGCTCAGGTGATCCTCCTGCCTCAGCCTCCCGAGTAGCTGGGACTATAGGTGTGAGCCACTGCATTCCGCTTGCTATGTCCCTTTCTGATTGAGGGTACCCTGAGGCCCCTAAGGGAATTAATTAGCTAGCCTGGAGTCACCCATCAGATTCCAGGCTGAGGGCTCCCCAGAAGTTCAACAGGAGCTTCTGACCTGCTGTCGGTCTCCCTGTGAACAGTTGCCCCACTCCTGTCTTCCCCCTAGATCCTGAAGGACACACAGGTGACTCGACAGGCCTTAAATGAGATCTCGGCCCGGCACAGTGAGATCCAGCAGCTTGAACGCAGTATTCGTGAGCTGCATGATATCTTCACTTTTCTGGCTTCTGAAGTGGAGATGCAGGTGAGTGCCCCACGCAGCCCCAGACGTGAGACCAGGCTCAGTCCAAACTGCCAGCCTCCTGCCACCCTTAGATTCTCTCCCTGAGGCTTTTGTGTCTTTCAGGTTTGGCCATCCCCCCAAATTGGTGCTTATTCTTATCCTTAGCTGTACCCCGAGAATGGCGCCTGCCTCTGCTGCTACCCAGATACCCACTCCCTTCTGCATGGCACCCTGCCCCCTCTCCAAAACTTGAGCCTGCCCAGGTCTGGCCCCAGCCCTGGCTCCCCCTCCACTAACAGCATCCTCCCTGATACCTCTCAGAGGTTCAGTCAGAGTTGCCTTAGAGGGGCTGCCTCCTAACATCTGTACAAGGCTGGAGTGGGGGCGGTGTTCCCCTGGCCCTGGTTGCATGAGTTGAGTTGAGCTTCCAGCCCTGTCCTGGAGGAGCTGGCCTCAGTCATGCTACAACCAATGCCCTTTTGCAGCTGAGACTTACAGGAAAGAGATCTCATTCAGTAGGAGTACTGAGACCTGAGGCTGGTGGTGCCAGGAGGAGGCAGGGGTAGGGAGGGCTTTGCAGCAGCTGTAGATAGGCCTGGAAGAATGGGTAAATTCAGACAGATTTGTGAAGGCACAGTTCACCATCTGTGAAAGGTATGAGCCATTTGAGGTCCTTAGCTCCAAGCTACCACTGCAGATAGAGGTCATATGGGATAAGCGAGCAGGGACAAGGGACTACATGATAGAAGGGACCTGGAAGCCATCCCCAAGGAGCCTGAACTTTTTTCAGATCGAGTCTTGCCCTTGTCTTTGTTAGTGCAATCTTTTTTTTCCTGCCAGGAATGTTCTTCAGTCATCTGAGGTGGGGTGGGCAAAGGCATCCTTACCTCCCTGAATCACCCCATCCTCTGAGCAGGGGGAGATGATCAATCGGATTGAGAAGAACATCCTGAGCTCAGCGGACTACGTGGAACGCGGGCAGGAGCACGTCAAGACAGCCCTGGAGAACCAGAAGAAGGCGAGGAAGGTGAGCCTCCCAGGCCGGGCCTCTGCCCCAGGCACCCTGTGTGACTTCCCTGACCCCCTCCTCTCCCACAGAAGAAAGTCTTGATTGCCATCTGTGTGTCCATCACCGTCGTCCTCCTAGCAGTCATCATTGGCGTCACAGTGGTTGGATAATGTCACACATTGTTGGTGAGATGTTGTGGGCTGCCCTCTGGCCTGCCCCAGCCCTGGCCCCAGCCCTCCCTTCTCCCTCAGACCCTGTTCTCCCTCCTTTCCTTACAGGCACTAGGAGCACCAGGGACCCAGGGCCTGGCCTTCTCTCCCAGCAGCCTGGGGGGCAGGGCAGAGCCTCCAGCCGGACCCCTTCCTCACACTGGCCCCTATGCAGAAGGGCAGACAGTTCTTCTGGGGTTGGCAGCTGCTCATTCATGGTGGCCTCCTCCTTCAGGTCTCAGTGCCTGGGGGAGGCCTGCACTGTCCTGATTGGTCGGGACACACAGTTTTGTAAAAAATTAAAAAACAAAAAAAGAGCATAGAAAGCCCTGTGCACGTGTGTTCCTGGAAGGGATGGCCCAAGGCTTCCGAGCATCCAACCTCCCTACCTCCTGGACATCCCCAGGGCCAGGTCCAGCCCTGGCTGCTCAGGTCAAACTGCCGTGGGTGCTGTGCCCACAGCAGGCTGGCTCTGCCTTTCTGTGCCCCCATAGGAATGGGTAGGCAGGGAGGGGTAACACCTGCATCTAGCTCCTCGCTCAGTACTGTCCCCGGGAAAATACTACTGTGAGTATCTGTCTTGGAAATAAGGCTGACCAGGCCAGGCTGGGATGCAGGCGAGATGGGGGTGTGTTGGCGGCATCCGTGGGCCTTCTTGTGGCCCAGAGGAAGAGGCACCATGAAGAACTGCCTAATTGAGGCTGTCACTTTGGATGCAGTGGACAGGGATGGTCTGGTTTCAGCAGAGATGACATTGGAGTGGAATGTTAAGTGGGGAGAATCTAGTTATGGAGAGAAGCTGGGGAAGAGGTTGCCAGGCAGAAAGCACAGGAGGCTGGGCCCTGTGCCCAACAAAAGCATCATCTTTTACATAAGAGTTCAGGCAGGGCGTGGTGGCCCACACCAATAATCCCAGCACTTTGGGAGGCCCAGGCAGGAAGATCTCTTGAGCTCAGGAGCTTGAGACCAGCCTAGGCAGGATGGTGCAACCTCTTCTCTTTAGAGAATAATAATTTTTTAGCCAGGCGTGATGGCAAGTGTTTGTCGTCCCAACTACTCCAGAGGCTGAGGTGGGAGGATCGCTTGAGCCCAGGAGATTAAGGCTGCAGTGAGCTATGGCCATCCCACTGCACTCCATCCTGGGTGACGGAGTGAGACCCTGTCTCAATAATAGGCCGGGTGCCTGTAATCCCACCACTGTGGGAGGCTGAGGTGGGCGGATCACGAAGTCAGGAGAGCGAGACCATCCTGGCTAACACAGTGAAACCCCATCTCTACTAAAAATACAAAAAAATTAGCTGGGCATAGTGGCAGGCGCCTGTAATCCTAGCTACTCGGGAGGCTGAGGCAGGAGAATGGCGTGAACCCAGGAGGTGGAGCTTGCAGTGAGCCAAGATTGCGCCACTGCACTCCAGCCTGGGTGACAGACCCCATCTCAAAAAAATAAATAAATAAATAAAACTAATAATAATCAGCAGCAGCAGCATAGAGAGCCAGTGATCCTGGATCAGTGCACCTGGTGGCTGAGGGATACCTGGCTGAAGCAGTAAGTGGCAGCAGGTAAGCCTGACCCCTGATTTCTTCCATAAGGTACCTGAGATCCAAGCCCTGACTAAATTTCTTTCTTTTTTTTTTTCTTTTTGAGACAGAGTCTTGCTCTTTTGCCTAGGCTGGAGTGCAGTGGCACTGTCTCAGCTCACTGCAACTCCGCCTCCCGGGTTCACACCATTCTCCTGCCTCAGCATCCCGAGTAGCTGGGACTACAGGCGTCCGCCACCACCCGGCTAATTTTTTGTATTTTTGTATTTTTAGTAGAGATGAACATTTCACCATGTTAGCCAGGATGGTCTCCATCTCCTGACCTCGTGATCCACCTGCCTCGGCCTCCCAAAGTGCTGGGATTACAGGCGTGAGCCACCGTGCCCGGCCAGCCCTGACTAAATTTCTAAGGGCTCCTAGTCCTGATGCCTAATTTTTGGAGTGGACATGGCTCCTGTTCCCTGACACCTAGTTTTAAAGGGTAAACCGGCCCCTGGCTCCTGCCTGTTTGCAGTAGGGTGGCGCCTAGCTCTGACCTCCAAGGTCTGGGGACTGCGTCGCAGCCGCCCAGTCCATCCCACTTTCAATCCTACAGGCCCCTGCTGTTGCTGCCGCTGCCGCCGCTCCTAGCTGCCCAGTCTGGCGGGCTCAGTCCCGCATTGCCACGCATGGGAGACCGCCTCGCGGAAGCGCTGGATGTGGCTTCGCTGATGCACGTTGGACCGGGCCCTGGACTGGGCTAGGGGAAGGGCAGGAGGGCGGAATTGGGCCCGAGGGCCGGGCCTGGCCGACCCCCGACTGCTCTGCCTCCATGGAGGCTGGCGGCCCAGCAGAGCCTCCCGGTGGCCCTGGAGTGCGGGTTGTACTGTCCGAGATCACCTGCAACTGGACGAGCTGTGCATGGGGCGTGGCCGAGGCCGTGGTTTGGTTGCAATTGGCCAGCGGGACCTAAGTGTTGTCTCTGAAGAGCATGGGCATTAGTCTGGAGGGTCCTGGGAGAGTGATCTCTGCCCCATCAAATGGCATTTAGGTCTAGGAGGCAGGTGTGGGCGGGGCGTTAGGGCGAGGCGCAGACATACCCCGAAGTGGTTGGATTGTAGACCGCAAGGGGCTGGATCGAATCCCCAAAAGACACTGGAAGGCTGTGTGGCTGAGGAGGGTCCAGCAGGTCCAGTGTTTCGTGGGCTTTACAGGAAGGAGCTCCACTTTCTCAAGAGTGTGCAGATGCGATCTAGGTGTGTCCACCCGATGGCAGTTGTGGGGCCGGGCGGATGCTGCCCCAGTACAAAGCTGATTTGGACCTAGGGCCTCTGGACTTCCCTGATTCTCTGCCTGCATCTCCAGCAAACTCCTGTCCTGTTGGCTGCCTTCATCCACTCTCTCACCTCTCTGCCTTCAGAGTAAAATTGCAAGATCTGTGGTGCTTACTGGGATCTGATAGAGTCTATGTACTGTCTATGCAGCGGGGGTCCAGGTGCAGCGGGGGTCCATGTGCAGTGTGTGCCTCTTCTTAGCCATGCTGGACAGCACCACTCCTGAAAAGCAGCTCCCCTGTTTACCCAGAAAGCCATCCAGAACCTGGAAAAGGTGGCCTGATAGCAGTGGCCTCGGATGCCAGGCTCAATCCTTTGAACTTTTCCTGTGGGCTGTCAGGACCCATAGAAGGTCTCAGAGCAGGTGAATTTGGAGCAGACCTGGTAGGCAAGCGAACAGGTGGATGCATGCACTGGAGATTCCATGGGCTCCCCTGTGGACATCTCTTCCCTTTGGGAAACTGCCCTGAGTGAGGGTCTAAGGGCAGGGTTTGCATTGAAATCCTAGCTTTGCTGCTGTCAGCCCAACTTTTAGGCAACAGGGTCTTGGTTAGATGTGACATTTCCAAGTCCATCTTGTATCACAGCCTGTCAGCTGCAGCTCACTCATTCAATCTATTGTGGTTCAAGTTCCCAAGAAAAGGAATCGGTCTGGTCTACTCTCCAGACCAGATTACATTTACTTGCCTAGAAATTGTCTGCCCTTAACTCAAGACTTTGCACTGTGGTTCCCATTTGTAATCCCAACACTTTGGGATGCCAAAGCAGGAATATTGCTTGAGCCCAGGAGTTAAAGACTAGCCAGGGAAATATAACAAGACCCTATCTCTACAAAAATTAAAATTAGGTTGGGTGCAGTGGCTCATGCCTGTAATCCCAGCACTTTGGGAGGCCGAGGCGGGTGGATCATCTGACGTCAGGAGTTCGAGACCAGCCTGACCAACATGGTGAAACCCCATCTCTACTAAATACAAAAAGTTAGCTGGATATGGTGGCGCAGGCCTGTAATCCTACTTGGGAGGCTGAGGCAAGAGAATCACTTGAACTCGGGAGGCGGAGGTTGCAGTGAGCCAAGATTGCCCCATTGCAGTCCAACCTGGGCAACAAGAGCGAAACTCCCTCTCAAAAAAAAAAAAATTAAAATTAAAATTAGCCAGGTGCATGCCAGTGGTGCGTGCTTGTGGTCCCAGCTACTTGGGAGGCTGAAGTGGGAGGATTGCTTGGGTCTGGGATTGAAACCACAGTGAGCCAACATTGCACCACTGCACTCCAGCCTGGACAACGGAGTAAGACCCTGTCTCAAAAAAAAAAAAAAGAAAAGAAAAGAAAAGAAAGAAAAGAAAAGAAAAAAGACTTTGCCCTTGAGTCAAGACTTTACCCTTGGCTAAGATGGATGCAGGAGGTGACATGGTACAAAATGCTGCAGCAGAGCGAGTGTATGTGCTGGAGGAGGAGTGGACTAGGTCAGTGATTGACATCTCCATTCCAGATATGTACTTACCTTCCCTGCTGGGCCCCTCCATATAGGAGCATTACACGCTCATTCGCTGCTTACAATAGGCTTGGCTATAGGACTTGCTTTGGCCAGTGGAATATGAGTAGGAAGGCAAAGTATTGACCGGGCACAGTGGCTCACACCTGTAATCCCAGCACTTTGGGAGGATGAGGCAGGTGGATCACCTGAGGTCAAGAGTTCGAGACCAGTCTGGCCAACATGGTGAAACCCTATCTCTACTAAAAAGTACAAAATTAGCCAGGCATGGTGGCACAGACCTGTAATCCCAGCTGCTAGGAAGGCTGAGGCAGGAGAATCATTTGAACCCCGGAAGGCGGAGGTTGCATGAGCCCAGATCATGCTATTGCTCTCTAGCCTGGACAAAAAGTGAAACTCCATCTCAAAAAAAAAAAAAAAAGGGAAAGTATCACTTCCACATAGAAGCTTTAGGCACCATTGAGTACTCTAGCAGTTTCCCATCTCTTCTCCCTCTGCTCAGGCTCATAAACCTGGCAGTTTCCAGATCTAGACTTCTCTTTCAGCCTGCAACCCAGAATGACAATTACGTGAAGCTGGGCTACAGCCTACCTGTAAAATGATAAGGAATTTAAGAAATAAATCTCTCTTGCTGTGAGCCATTGATATATGGAGGTTGTTTGTTAGCACATCCGCATGTTTAAACAAACTGTTACAGAATTAGTACTCAGAAGTGGTGTGCTGCAACAATAAAAAATAAGCCTAGGCCAGGCATGGTGGCTCACACCTGTAATCCCTGCATTTTGGGAGGCCAAGGCAGGTGGGTCACCTAAGGTTAGGAGTTTGAAACCAGCCTGGCCAACATGACAAAACCCTGTCTCTACTAAAAATACAAAACAAAACAAAACAAAACAAAAATTAGCTAGGCATGGTAATAGGTGCCTGTAATCCCAGCTAGAGGCTGAGGCAGGAGAATCACTTGGACCCAGGAGGCAGAGGTTGCAGTAAGCCAAGATTGCGCCACTGTACTCCAGCCTGGATGATGGAGTGAGACTCCATCTCAAAAAAAAGTAAAAATAAAATATTAAAAATTAGCCGGGTGTGGTGGCATGTGCCTGTAGTCTCGGTTACTTGGGAGGCTGAGATGGGAGGATCGCTTGAGCCCAGGAGGCAAAGGTTGCAGTGAGCCAAGACTGCGCCACTGCACTCCAGCCTGGTTCAAAAAAAAAAACAAAAACAAAAAACAAAAAAACCCAGCCAGGCACGGTGGCTCATGCCTGTAATCCCAGCACTTTGGGAGGCCAAGGTGGGTGGATCACCTGAAGTCAGGATTTTGAGACCAGCCTGGCAAACATGGTGAAACCCTGTCTCCACTAAAAATACAAAAATTAGCCGGGAGTGGTGGCATGCACCTGTAATCCCAGCTACTCAGGAGGCTGAGGCTGGAGAATCGATTGAACCTCGGATACGGAGGTTGCCGTGAGCCAACATTGAGCCACTGCACTCCAGCCTGGGCGACAGAGCAAGCCTCTGTCTCAAAAAAAAAAAAAAAAAAAGGCCTAAACTATGTAAACTATGTGACATTGAAGTTGAGCTGGACAGTGGCTGGTAAGGGAACTGTCATTGGAAGTTGGAAAGATGGTGACATGTGTTATGCAATGGTGAAGGGTTTGGTTAAACTGTAAGCTTATAACCAAATGAGCTTTAGGCTTTAAGTAAAGAACTGGGGAAAGGGAATATTGGTAGCATGCTGTTGCTGCTGTTGCATGCATTTGAGGAGTTACTGGAAGAAAGAGATGACTCAGAAATTAATTGGTCAGTTTTTAAGCAGAAATGGAAGAGAATATAGAAACTTGAGGCAAGTGATCCACATTTTTAACTAGTAGAAGATACAACTGAGAAAGTCCTTGAGCCACAAGGTTTTTGTTTTGTTTTTTGAGACACAGTCCTGCTCTTGTTTCCAAAGCCACCTTCTGGGTTCAAGCCTTTCTCCTGACTCAGTCTCCCGAGTAGCTGGGATTACAGGCATGCACCACCATGCCCAGCTAATTTTTGTATTTTCAGTAGAGATGGGTTTCACCATGTTGGCCAGGCTGGTCTTGAACTTCTGACCTCAAGTGATCTTCCCACCTTGGCCTCCCAAAGTGCTGGGTTTACAGGTGTGAGCCACTGCCACTGGTTGAGCTACAAGGTTTGATTAAAAGTCATCTTTGTGGAAAGGGCCATATCAAGTATGTGGCTATTATGTCCTCTGTAAAAATCTCCAAACTGATCAAAGTGGTTCCCAATAAATCCTCTCAGCTAGTCAAGATGATTCGGAGAAAAGAGGTTAAGAGTGTAGCTCATCTTGGCCAGGAGCGGTGGCTCACGCCTATAATTCCAGCACTTTGGGAGGCTGAGGTGGGCGGATCACCTGAGGTCGGGAGTTCAAGACTAGCCTAACCAACATGGAGAAACCCCATCTCTACTAAAAATACAAAATTAGCCAGGCATGGTGGCGCATGTCTGTAATCCCAGCTACTTGTGAGGCTGAGGCAGGAGAATTGCTTGAACCTGGGAGGCAGAGGTTGCAGTGAGCCAAGATCACACCATAGCACTCCAGCCTGGGCAACAACAGTGAAACTCCATCTCAAAAAAAAAAAAAAAAAAAAAAAGAATGTAGCTTACCTGAGAGAGTCAGTAGGCTCAACTGTAGTTAAGTCTAATGTCATGGTTATGTCTGAAAAGAATTATGGGTGGCCGGGCGCGGAGGCTCACACCTGTAATCCCAGCACTTTGGGAGGCCGAGGCGGGCGGATCACGAGGTCAGGAGATCAAGACCATCCTAGCTAACACGGCGCAACCCCGTCTCTACTAAAAATACAAAAAATTAGCTGGGCGTGGTGGCAGGCGCCTGTAGTCCCAGCTTCTCATAAGGCTGAGGCAGGAGAATGGTGTGAACCTAGGAGGCGGCAGAGCTTTCAGTGAGCGGAGGTCATGCCACTGCACTCCAGCCTGGGCGACAGAGTGAGACTCAGTCTCAGAAAAAAAAAAAAAAAGAAAGAAAAAGAATTATGGGTATGCTGTTGACCCACGGATCTGAATGGAGTAAAATACATAAGTTTGGTTTTGGAGGGAATTGCCCTGCTTCCACTGCCTAACACCCCCTCACCCTGACAGAAATCCACCAGGTTAAATTTTGACCATAAGTGTTCAAGACTTAGTATGACTTTTAGGTCCCCAAATTTCTTTTTTTTTTTTTTGAGATTGGGTCTCACTGTGTCACCCAGCCTGGAGTGCAGTGAGGCAACCACAGCTCGCTATAACCTCGAACTTCTGGTCTCACACGATCCTCCTGCCTCAGCCTCCCAAGTAGCTGGGACTGCAGGCCCATGCCACCCCAGCAGGCTAATTTTTGTTTTTTGGGTTTTTTGGAAACAAAATCTCATTCTCACCCAGGCTGAAGTACAGTGGCATGATCTTGGCTCACTGCAACCTTCACTTCCTGGGCTTGAGTGATCCACCTACCTCAGCCTTCCAAGTAGCTGGGACTATGTGCCACCATGCCCGGCTAATTTTTGCATTTTTTTGGTAGAGACAGAGTCTTGCTATGTTGCCCAGGCTGGTCTCGAACTCCTGAGCTCAAGCGATTCACCTGTCTTGGCCTCCC